TCTGTTGTTCTATCTATCTATAATCGGTCTGTCTGTCGTTCTGTTGTTCTATCTATCTATAATCGGTCTGTCTGTCGTTCTGTTGTTCTATCTATCTATAATCGGTCTGTCTGTCGTTCTGACGTTCTATCTATCTATAATCGGTCTGTCTGTCATTCTGTCATTCTATCTATCTATAATCGGTCTGTCTGTCTGTCGTTCTGTCTGTCTGTTGTTCTATCTATCTATAATCGGTCTGTCTGTCGTTCTGTCGTTCTATCTATCTATAATCGGTCTGTCTGTCGTTCTGACGTTCTATCTATCTATAATCGGTCTGTCTGTCATTCTGTCATTCTATCTATCTATAATCGGTCTGTCTGTCTGTCGTTCTGTCTGTCTGTTGTTCTATCTATCTATAATCGGTCTGTCTGTCGTTCTGTTGTTCTATCTATCTATAATCGGTCTGTCTGTCGTTCTGTTGTTCTATCTATCTATAATCGGTCTGTCTGTCGTTCTGTTGTTCTATCTATCTATAATCGGTCTGTCTGTCGTTCTGTTGTTCTATCTATCTATAATCGGTCTGTCTGTCGTTCTGTTGTTCTATCTATCTATAATCGGTCTGTCTGTCGTTCTGTTGTTCTATCTATCTATAATCGGTCTGTCTGTCGTTCTGTTGTTCTATCTATCTATAATCGGTCTGTCTGTCGTTCTGTCGTTCTATCTATCTATAATCGGTCTGTCTGTCGTTCTGTCGTTCTATCTATCTATAATCGGTCTGTCTGTCGTTCTGTCGTTCTATCTATCTATAATCGGTCTGTCTGTCGTTCTGTCGTTCTATCTATCTATAATCGGTCTGTCTGTCGTTCTGTCGTTCTATCTATCTATAATCGGTCTGTCTGTCTGTCGTTCTGTCTGTCTGTCTGTCGGTCTGTCTGTCTGTCTGTCTGTCGTTCTGTCTGTCTGTCTTTCTGTCGGTCTGTCTGTCTGTTGGTCTGTCTCTCTGTCGTTCTGTCTGTCGTTCTGTCGGTCTGTCGGTCTGTCGTTCTGTCTGTCTGTCTGTCTGTCGTTCTGTCTGTCTGTTGTTCTATCTATCTATAATCAGTCTGTCTGTCGTTCTGTTGTTCTATCTATCTATAATCGGTCTGTCTGTCGTTCTGTAGTTCTATCAATCTATAATCGGTCTGTCTGTCGTTCTGTAGTTCTATCTATCTATAATCGGTCTGTCTGTCGTTCTGTCGTTCTATCTATCTATAATCGGTCTGTCTGTCGTTCTGTAGTTCTATCTATCTATAATCGGTCTGTCTGTCGTTCTGTCGTTCTATCTATCTATAATCGGTCTGTCTGTCATTCTATCTATCTGTTAATCTTATGTTCTGTTATTGGTTTTTTAGCTAGAAGACGAGTTGCTTGCTCTGCAGAAGAAACTGAAAGGAACTGAAGATGAGCTGGACAAATATTCAGAAGCTCTCAAAGACGCTCAGGAGAAGCTGGAGCTGTCTGAGAAAAAGGCGACAGACGTGAGTATTCAAGCGTTAGACACTGTTTATACAGATAAAATAATTTTTCTTCAATAAGACGTCAGTTTTCGGTTAAACACCATCATCAAAATCAAAAACGGATGTGATCGTAATAATGAGTCCCTCGCTGCTTTCATACGCATGTGGCACCGCAGTAAATCTTGGCACCTGGTCAGGATGGTAAGGTTCAGACAGATTGTTCTCATTCCAACAACAAAAATGCTTTAATCATAGTGGGAGCATGTCAGCAGCCCCATGTGGAAAAAAAATGGGAAGAAAAAGTTTCCCCACATTCCTTTTCGGCTACCGCTGACAGCCTTAAATAAATGTCTTTCCCACTCATTCTGTTACCGGACTCCCCAGAGACGTCAAATGTCTTCAGTGTGCAATTTTCTAGCAAGGCTTACTTGAACTCATCAGCTTTTCTTTTATTTTTTAACAAAACAACCTCGGAAAGCTGTGGAATCCGGGCTCACATGCAGAGGAAATGGATATTTAGGGCGAAAGCCACCTCTGAAACCCACAGGGAGAAAACCCAGACTGCAAAGCACAACCGAGAAATATTATAAAAAACTGTCTGGACGTGACGTCCACCGTCCCAGAGCTGCATTCTTTTATCATATAGTATATAGCAGTGTATATATATAGTGGTCCTTGACGTAAGGCCAGGGGGTCCGTATAAAGTATGAATTGTTGTGACATGAAATGTTCCCATGAAAGAAAAATCCAATATAGCTGATGATATGGCAAAATACTGGACAAGTCAACTAACTTGAATTATACTTGACTACATTTGGTCCTCACAAAGATACAAATGATACATAGATGAGTCCATTTTGTTCTGGGGGTCCTTGAGGATGGTTCTGAATTGGACTGGGGTCCGGTACGCCAAAAGGTTGAGATTCACTGGTATATAGCATAGTATAAATAAAGAAAAAACCGTTCTCTTACTAAAAAACGTTTACTAAAATCACAATAATAGTGATGTAAAGGTACACTACTGCTCAAAAGTTTGGAATAATTAAGATTTTCAAGAAACATTTCTCATTATTTCTTAATTTATTTATTTATTAAAAACAGTTGCACTTAATCATATACCATTAAAACTCATTAAACCCTACCATTAAAACACTTTTATTGAGCAAGGATGCGTTAAATTGATTAAAAGTGACAGTAAAGACATTTATGAAGTTACAAAATATTTATATTTCAAATAAATGCTATTCTTTTGACCTTTCTATTCATCAAAGAATCCTGAAAAAAAGTATCAACGTTTCCACAAAAATATTTAGCAGCACAGCTGCTTTCAACATTGATAATAGTCAGAAATGTTTCTTGAGCAGCAGATCAGCATATTAGAATGATTTCTGAAGATCATGTGACACTGAAGACTGGAGTAATGATGCTGAAAATTCAGCTGCGCATCACAGCAATAAATTACAGTTTAGCATATATTCAAATAGAAAGCAGTTCTTTTAAATTGTAATAATATTTCATAATATTACTGTTTTTACTGTATTTTTGATCAAATAAATGCAAAAAAAAAAAAGAAATCTTTCCAAATATCATTCCAAACTTTATATATTATATTTACAGTACATTTACACGATGCATTTGGCAGATGCTTATATCCGCTGCATGTTTTCATTGCATGGAAAGTGAAGATAAACTCCAAAACACAGACAACAGTTTAAAGTCATCCAAGAAGCTAGACGACAAAAGATGCCTCCTTTTGTCAATAACAGAATGCATTGTTTTAAATATAAATATTCTTTCAAATATTTAATGCTAAAACTGTAGATAAAAACAGTTGTTTTCCTATTTTACCCAATATTTGTTATGCTGATTAAAATATGACACCATTAGCTTGGCAACATCCAAACCTTTATTCAGTTATATTGGAATTGAAATTATGCTGCCTTAGTAAGTAGACAGCAAGGCAGCTCAGGTTTTGGAACAGAAATATTATTTTTATCTTTGGATGAACTATTTCTTTTAGATTATAAATAAGCAGTCTGAACACTGACTTAGCCCAAGCTATAAAAATACTGAAAGTTTGTTTCTATTTCATTATGTGGACAAAAAAAAGAAAAATATGTTCTTAAATTAGATCATTACGGCACCGTCTCACAATTTGTGTAATATTTCTATACAAGGCAACAGTATAGGTCTGTGCAGAGCATGAAGTTCACTTCATTTCTTTCTTTTCACTCACAATCACACACACACACACACACACACACACACACACACACACACACACACACAGCCCAGGAATGTGAGGAATTCAACTAAGCAAACAATAAACCTTCAGCTCTTGAATCTAATGAATCCAACTCTTCTGCTGGGGGAAACACACACACACACACACACACACACACACAAACACACACACTCAAGCATTTGCAAAATACTCCCACACATGCTGGAATTCACTGAATGGAATACAAATGGCATTGTAATAGCGTTATGTCATTTATTAGGCAGTGAACTGTTTCAAAAAAGCTGTGAGTCACTCAAGGCTTTGCATCTCTTAACCATGGTAAAATCACCTCGAACAGTTTAAGCTTCAAAAAACACATATGCAAATCTTCCCACATCGTGACGTAGACATGTGGGGGCATGTTAGAACGAGCCGTTTTAGGTAGGCGTGGTTGACTCTTAACTTTTATAAAGAATATCTCTTTGGATTTGAGACTTTAGTCTTTGCAACTTTACAGATCTTCTTTATGCACCAAGACCTTTTAACACTCCAAAGAGAAAGGAAAAATTGAAATAGCATCATATGACCCCTTTAATAATAATTGGAGTAAACAATTCTTCTGGCAAGTAATGCAGTTCATTAGCCTGACTATATATGCTGCCATACAATGGTGCATTAATATAAAATGGACACTCATTGGTGTGTGTTTAGCACATTAGTTCTTCCAGTGTGGCTCAAGCAATCAGAATACGGAGTCAGAACTATCTTTTTATATACATTAACTGAGCCAGACAATAGATGTATTTCTGCTTGGACGTTGTGAGAATGTGTTTCCGAGCACAGCATATGAAATTAATCAGCATGCAGTCAGATTGTGCCGCCCCATAACTGCTGTGAGAGGGCCAATAATTACAACAGCACGTCCTGCTCAAGAATATGTGCTGAAGAACATATGGAGACCCTTACAGTGTGTATGAAGAAGCTGTAGAAGTATTTGAGCTGCATGTGCATGTGTGAATACTCAGGTGAAGATCTGCTTAAAAATATTGTGTATTTGCATTTTTGTTTGTGTGTCTACCTATAAATTACAGATGTGTGTGATTTTAAATATGATATAAATTAGGTTGGCATGTCATGGGCATCTTTTTTTGTTGTTTGATGCTAACAAGTTGGTATATAAGCACTACAACAACTGTCTGACTCACTAAGCATGCTAGCTCACATCATGATAGTTAGTCTGTATTTAACTTGTTTTTCGTTTGTTTTTTAAAAAAAAGCTTCTTTAAAAATTAAATTTAGGATCTGATTGTTTGACATTTATATTGTGTAACAATACATTAAAATTGCCCATCATTTATATATATATATGTATGTGTGTGTGTGTGTGTGTGTGTGTGTGTGTGTGTATTTAGCATAAATAAATAAATATATGTGTGTGTTTAGCATATATAAAATGCTAATTACTATATAAATTAAAATAAAATTATATATGCCTAAATATTTGTCATAATTGCTGTGCAATCTGCCTTAGAAAGACAATTGAGCCATTTCGAAGGGAAATGCAAATTTAAAATGTCTGTCATTTCCACCACATAATGCTATTAAACTTAATGATAATGTGATATGATGGTGTAGAAAGTGCTGTAATGTGCATGACGTTTCAGAAAAATTACAGAATTTTCCTGTGATGCATGTAATGTTCACTGTTTTACACTATTAGTGAATAAATGCATTAAACTAGTGTGAAAAGTAGTCGTTTATTTCCCGTGCACTGATGATTTTACGCACTCATATCTCAGCATTGCTGCAATCACACATGGTCATTCGTATAAGAAACACCAAATATGTCCAGAAGTCAGCACATAGCAGCAGAAGTCAAACAGGAACACCACCCCCTGATGTCATCTGAAACCCGCATCTTCTTCCTGGTCCTGCCCTTTTTCCAGAATTCCTCATTCTGCGGCTCCGCGAATTAGAGACGCACAAATGGAAAGTTTGCGACAGTTTTGAGACGCACAGAAGTTGCTCCAAATCTGCGGTCTTCATTTATTTATAAATTCGCTTTTGCAGCCGGATTCTGTCTCTAGATCGCTCGGGTGGTTTGTGTGAAGGTTTGGGGATGTCTGTGAAGTCTTTAGACGCCGTGAAGAGGAAGATCCAGAGTCTGCAGCAGCAGGCGGATGATGCGCATGACGGAGCGCAGTTTCTGCAGACGCAGCTGGACAATGAACGAGACCTGCGGGAGAGAGTGAGGAAACCGTCTTACCTTCCCATCCTCTTTCGTTCTCTGCTGCTTCTGTCTGATGCCTTTCGCTCGTTTCTGTGCACGCTGAACAGAAAGACCGGGGCTAGTTGTCACACTTTCGTGAATGTGTCTCATGGTATTGTAGCGTGATGCTGCACCGGGGCATGTTGTCACGCTGCATGTGCATCGCACTAAACGTTTTTACTAAAAGTCCAGTTGCACAATCTGATCATTTTTTTTTTGTGAATTTTATCTTCAAAGCAATTTTTTTTTTTACTAAAAGTCCAGTTGCACAAATGTATTAACAGTAGTTAAAATCTAAGTATTTTTTGTGAATTTTATCATCAAAGCAAAAATTGTAATAGGTGAGAACGGGGCTAGTTCTCACATTGAATATTGAATAGTGAATATTATTCAGATTATATGTAACTTGGCGCCATAGCGGGGCATGTTGTCACACTACTACAGTGCATTTTTGCCTTTTAATAGTTTATTATTTATACCCAAAACTCAAATAATGAGCACAAAACAAAATATAACATACAAAAATGTCAAAGCATTGCTTGGCTAACAAATATTGTGATGAATAAATTGTAGGCTATAGCTTTTAAAACACATGTGACGACTTGCCCCAAACAGACATTTTTTTTAAATATCGTTGTTTTAACAACACATTTTATGGTTTAAATTAAAAGCTACCTTCATGAAGGTTTAGAAACCACTGCTAGAGAAAACAAGCATTTGTGCAATCAAGGCAAAATGTCACTAGTGTTTTATATTTTGTAATTGTATCCTCGTTTTCATTTATTTCTGTTGGGTTTAGTTCTTTTTTTTTTTTATGAATGGTTTTGTGTTTCATAATTGCTTTACTGTTTACATTTTGCTGAAAAAGATGTTGTTGAAGAAGGCTGTTATATGCAAATAAGTGTCAATAAGCAGCAGGCTTCCGTTGTGACAACTTACTCCATAGTGTGACAACATGCCCCTCTTTAGTTAACCTGTGTTAAATTAACTTTATCTGGTGGAAATGTTCAACAGGTTTTTTTTTGTGTGTTAATACTGGCATTTGAAAAATAAACCTCATCTGATAAATATTAACTTGATTTGTTTTTTTAAATCAGCTTGTGTTTAATGCATGTAAAATACAGTCACTTAAGATGGGTTTGGAAAATCACTTTAACCTGGGTGTTATAGTTATAGGGATTTCTTCTCCACTTGGTGAGAAAAATATTATTTTTGAACTAAGCCTACAGTAAATTTGGGGGAAAAAACTCAAACTCTCGACCTGTTACCTCAGCAGTATTTCTGTTCGTTTAGACCAGATTTATAGTGGACACATTACCGTGAGCAGCTGTCAGAGGAGTGTTTTGTAATGCTTCCGACACCTTTTGACCGATTAATTTTTAAATAAAATATTATTTTAATTTTGTGTAATATATAACAGAATTACATATATTATATTTATAAAATATATAATAAAGATGTATTACGATTTATAAAGATTTATTTATTATATATATATATTATTAAATATTTTGTGCTGTTATATAATATTTAGTATAATATAAAAAATGTATTTAATAATATATGATTTTTTAAAAATAATTTTATTTTTATTTTATATTTTAAAATATATATTATATATATATATATAAAACATTATACATATATGTTATAATATATATAAATATAGATTTGATATATTATATAATATATAAAAATGTATAATATTACATTTTATATTAATTTGTAATGAATTTAGAATATGTTTGTTTTTTTAAGAGGTAAAACTGACCTCTAATAAAGCAGCCCAGCAGCCCCTTTCCTGGAAACCGCTGTCGGACAGTTAGTCGGGGACATGACGTTCTTCACATTCTCACTTCCTGTCTTATTTGTTGCAGTCTGCTTTCACCCAACATGTGTCTCTTAGAAAAACATGACCCAGGTGCCCTTTCTTCCATATAGCTTTGGAAAGCAGATCCAAAACATCAGCAGATGCAATGGTCTGAAATGACTGTACTGCAGGAGACTATTAGCTCAGTCTGTGATCTGGTTCCTCATCTCAACTGAAATGAGACACATTTATGCTCTCCAGTAAAGCATCAGCAGTTATTTAATTGATCGGCTATTCCTCCTGTCTGTGTGTCTGTGGAGCAGCACAAAGGGTTCATTCAAAGTATAATCTTGATATTTGTGCATTAAAGACCAAGAAGCTGTTTTCCAGGCAGCTTTGCCACTTTTAAAGACTCATAATGGCATGATAATCAGATGCGTGTTTGAGCACCTTATAAGGCTGAGGCCCACTATGTACTGTGTAATAGGAAGTGGGCATGACCAGAGGAAAACTCTCATTCAAAAGTGAATCTGAAAGAATCTGCTTCACATGTGCTTAGATTTCTCTTTGTGTGTTAAAACTACTGATTTCTTAGAGTTTAAGCAGTTATTTTACCTAAAAATGAAAGTTTTCTCCCTTAGTATCAGTTTTTATTAGTATTTTGAATTTGTTTTTGTTTTTATATTTTTGTTTTAATTTTAATCTTAGTTAAAGGTGGGGTAAGTGATTTCTGGTAGCCAATGTTGACATTTGAAATCACCAAAACAAACACGCCCCTATCCCAAAAAGGTCTCGCCCCTATTTTGATAGCTCCGCCCCACACATACGTACGCAACCCAGGCAACGATTAGTTCTGTGAAACAAAGCAAAACCAATGTTACACCGTGTCTACACCGGACGCGAGTGGCGCGGCGCGACAAAATACTATAGAACTCATTATAATCAGTGATGCTGTCTACACCATAGATATGTATACACTGGATCTACACTGAATGTGGCGCGGCACGACACGACAAATCCCCGACAGAAAACTGCTGCTGCGTTCTATTTATGACGTATTGACACACTTTTCAAATGATTTTCAGCGGTCTCTTTGTCGCGTCCAGTGTACTAGACAGACTTTAGTTGTTGCGGCACAGACACGGTGTTTGTTACTCACCTATCGAGAAGAAACAAAGCAACTTCGGCATCCGATCGCAGGCCTTCCCGCTCCTTGAGTTCTCTCCAGCGCTGGAAAGCTGATCCGATATTTACACGGCTCCTACTTCTTGCCTTATCGTAAGCCTTCTTTTGTTCCGCAGACGTTTTCCTCTTTTGTTTTTTATCCGCCATCTCTATCTTTGTGTCGTTGCTCGGCTCGCTAATGTCCGTCCTGTGCACTGAACGCTCTCCTCCACATCATGAGTAGACACGCCCCTTACTGCTGATTGGCTACAAGTTTGTTTTGCTATTCGGCCCGAATCAGTTTTCTAAAGCGTTTTTGAAAAAACGCTTACCCCACCTTTAAAGTTTTAGTAATTTTGTTGTGTGTTTTTTATTTGGTATGTTTTTTTATTAATTTTTATCTCAGTTTTAGTTATTTTGGTACATCAAGTTCATATCAAATGTTTTCTTGGCAAATAGCTGAAATAAAATAAGTTTAAGTTAAGCACTTGATACACTGTTGATACACTTATGGGGAAACTCCTGTTTACTCTGATACTGAAGCCTGATTTGTTCACGTTTGTGTAGCTGCATGAACCAATATTTTAAATTAGATTTCATTTTTATATTGTCTGTTTTCACTTTTATTATAGTTAAAATTTTGTTGTGTTTTGTCGTTTTTATTTTTTTTAATATGTCTATATAGTTTTTATTAGTTTTTATTTCAGTTTTAGATATTTTAGTTCTTTAAATAACTTGAACTTGCATTCTTAATGGCAACTGATGGCATAAAAATATTCTGAATATATATATATATATATATATATATAGAAAGAATGAAAGAAAGAAAGACAAAGGAGATCAGTATAATTTTGTAAATAATGGACATTAAAATTCAAATAAAAAAACTATGGAATTTCAAATAGGAGTCAATCCTACAAGGATCCACCAAGATCTTACTGGATGAGCTGAAATTTCTTTATGTTCCTTATGTTTTGTTATGTTAAATATATTTTTTGTGATGTTAGAATTTCAGTTTATCAAGTAGGATTTTAGCAGATTGTTTTAAGATTATAATCCAGACCCGTTTCTAAAAGTATTCCTGTAGGATCTTTTAATTCTGCCTCATTCCTTCAGATTCCTAGCCGGGATCTTTAAGCGCTGTTTTTCTGTATGCTGACAGGCGGAAGGAGACGTGGCCGCTCTGAACCGCAGGATCCAGCTGGTGGAGGAGGAACTGGACCGAGCTCAGGAGAGACTGGCCACCGCGCTCCAGAAACTAGAGGAGGCAGAGAAAGCGGCGGATGAGAGCGAGAGGTACAAACACACACATGCATCTGTGCACACACGAGCTATTATTCAACTACAACTAAAACCATAAAACAAAATTTACTTAATGGACTGTTAACTGAATAAAATATAAAAACCTTACACATATTTTATTTCAGCTATAGTTTCCAAGGAAACATTTCTCATTTCATGTAGTTTAACTTGATGTACTAAAATAACTGAAATAAAAATGTATAAAAACTTCATACACATTAAAAAAAAAAACTAACATAAATGGCAGAAACGCAAAACAAACAATGACCAAAATGTTAACTACAATTAAAATAAAATGGAAAATGGAAAAATAAAAACTCAAATTCAAAATTTAAATCTATATTTGAACTATAAAAATATTTGACCCATCCACCTAATTATCATTCCTTCTGTGCACAGTGTTCTCGTTAACGTAATGTTCAATTAATAAAAACACTTAAAAATCAAGTAAAAATCAAGTAAAAATTGCCAGACTGTATATCATTTGTATTAGCTTTATTTTAATACAGATGTTTAAAAAAATTGTTTTTTTTACTTAAATTGTTATTTTGTTACTTAAGATAAAATAAATGTTAACTGAAATCAAATATAAAAATCTTAAACTTTTATTTTATTTCAGCTAGTGGCCAAGGCAACATTTCTCATTTTCATTTAGTGTAACTTGATGTACTAAAATAACTAAAACTAAAACTGAGATAAAAATTAATTAAAACTATATAGACGTATTTTAAAAAAATAAGCAACCAATGAAAATGACTCAATATTCAACTGTGTTTTGTATCCAGAGGCATAAAGGTGATTGAGAATCGTGCAATGAAAGATGAGGAGAAAATGGAAATTCAGGAAATACAGCTCAAAGAAGCCAAACACATCGCTGAGGAGGCCGACCGCAAATATGAAGAGGTCAGACACACACACTTTTAATAGGGTTTACTCTGTGGTTTGAGTCTGGATCTGTGAATATCGTGTGTGTTTTTGCAGGTCGCTCGGAAGCTGGTGATTCTGGAGGGTGAACTAGAAAGAGCAGAAGAGAGAGCAGAGATCGCAGAACTGTTAGTACACATCTTTAACTGACCCACAGGCAGATTTAGGCTACATCCACATGAAGCCAGAGCTTTCCCTATACCTTGTGCGCGGTATACAAACGAACATGGAACAATACATTTATTAATCTGTGTTAATGTTAGTTAATAAAAAAGACAATCATTCAGTGTTTGTTCATGTTTTTGTTGCTGTCATGTGACGTAACGGTGTCTGACTAGGGGCGAGACGTGGGCTGATGACGTCATCGTTTCAGAAAATATACGGATTCGCTGTCCACATGAAAACGCAAGAGCGGTGTTTTCAGCACTCTGGGACCCGGTTTCAAAAAATATCGGTTTCACTCTCACAAAACGCCGGATCCGTGTGGACGAAATGCCTATACGATACAAAATTTATGCGTATACAGCTAAACGTGTCTCCGTGTGGACGGGGCCTTAGTTAACAATAACACAACTTGCTGACCTACACTGAAAAAAAAAAGTGTAGGATTTGCTTTGAAACTATTGTCAAAATTGTGTTATAAAGTCAGATTTGAGGGATATAAACGGGCAATTGTGCAATTCTGACCTTTTATCTCACAGTTCTGACTTTTTTGCGAGTTATAATGTCAGAATTGTGGGATATAAACTTGCAATTGCGAGAAATAAAGTCTGAATTGCGAGATATAAACTCACAATTCTGACTTTTTTCTCGCTGAGTTTATAACTTGCAATTACAAGTTTGTGTTTGTTTATTTCATGCATTTCAGAGAAGAAAAGACAGAATTGCGAGATGTAAATTTGCAATTGCGAGAAAAAAAAGTCAGAATTGGAAGATTCAGTCGCAATTACCTTTTTTATTTTTATCCAGCGGCGGAAACTAAATTCCATCATTTTTACTCATAAATTGCTAGTAAATTCACATCGAATTAAACATGAAGTAGAAAGACTGAAATACTATTTTCTTGTAAAACATATCTACAATAATCTTTGTTTTATTTACTTCGAAAAAAAAAAACAATTTTTTTTTTAATAGTGTAAACTTTTATCAGTATGGGTTTGTGGCCTGCTGGAAAATCCAGTTTGAAGTTAACATGCAACTGAGTTCAAACCCCATTTTACTTCAGCAAATGAATATTTTAGAAACATGAATATAAAATAAGAAAATTGGGTCCATTTTGATTTAATGTTGCCTTTAAATTGGTTTCTTGTTGATTCAGTCTGGTTGTAAAACCTATATTAATGATGTGAAAATTAATGATTACACTGCATAAAATGATTTTCTTAGTATTTTTTGTCTTGTTTTCTAGTACAAATGTCTAAAAATTCTTGAATCAAGCAAAATAACTTCAGATATTATGCAACATAGCCTCATTCGAAATAGATGCCTCTAATGTCTTGTTTTACATTTACATTTACATTTAGTCATTTTGCCGACGCTTTTATCCAGAGCGACTTACAATTGGGCAATACATAAAGCGATTCTTCTTAAAGAGGCAAACAGACACAGGAAGTGCTTGTAATACCAAGTTTTAGGCTTTGTTCAAATAAGTGCAAGCTAGAAAAGGGAAGTAATAAATAAAGAGAAAGAAAAAGTTTTTATTTTTTTATTATTTTTTTTTTATGGTGAAGTCAAGTAGTGTTTAAAGAGATGAGTTTTTAGCTGTCGCTTGAAAATTGATAGGGATTCAGCATTCCGGATAGGGGTGGGAAGATCATTCCACCAGCCAGGAACGGTGAACGAGAATGTTCTGGAAAGTGATTTTGAGCCTCTCTGTGATGGTACCACGAGGCGTCGCTCACTAGCGGATCTCAGACTTCTGGAGGGGATGTAGATTCGTAGTAGTGAGTGGAAGTAGGCAGGTGCTGACCCTGTAGCTGTTCTATATGCAAGCATCAATGTCTTGAACTTGATG